GGAGAAAACAGACATGAAACTGGCCAGTCAGCAGTGTACTATGTAACCACTTAACCATCTCTTCCCCTTAAAGCCTGAGTGTGCCAAGCCTATTGAACCAAACTGTAGAGGTCATCTGTACTCTGTGGGAGGGAGAGTTAGGGTTTAGGGGACAGCGATGACAGCTAGCTCTCTGGAACAACAATGGAGTCCCGCTGCACAGACTAACCACTGGGCTCTATCTCACAGGGCCTCACAGGGCCTCACTGACTGACCACTGGGCTCTATCTCACAGGGCCTCACTGACTGACCACTGGGCTCTATCTCACAGGGCCTCACTGACTGACCACTGGGCTCTATCTCACAGGGCCTCACTGACTGACCACTGGGCTCTATCTCACAGGGCCTCACTGACTGACCACTGGGCTCTATCTCACAGGGCCTCACTGACTGACCACTGGGCTCTGCCTCACAGGGCCTCACTGACTGACCACTGGGCTCTGCCTCACAGGGCCTCACTGACTGACCACTGGGCTCTATCTCACAGGGCCTCACTGACTGACCACCTGGGCTCTATCTCACAGGGCCTCACTGACTGACCAATGGGCTCTGCCTTACAGGGCCTCAATGATGACCACTGGGCTCTGCCTCACAGGGCCTCACTGACTGACCACGGGCTCTATCTCACAGGGCCTCACTGACTGAACCATGACTGACCACTGGGCCTCTATCTCACAGGGCCTCACGACTGACCACTGGGCTCTATCTCACAGGGCCTCACTGACGACCATGGGCTCTATCTCACAGGGCCTCACTGACTGACCACTGGGCTCTGCCTTACAGGGCCTCACTGACTGACCACTGGGCTCTGCCTTACAGGGCCTCACTGACTGACCACTGGGCTCTGCCTCACAGGGCCTCACAGTGCCTCACTGACTGACCACTGGGCTCTATCTCACAGGGCCTCACTGACTGACCACTGGGCTCTATCTCACAGGGCCTCACTGACTGACCACTGACTGACCACTGGGCTCTGCCTCACAGGGCCTCACTGACTGACCACTGGGCTCTGCCTCACAGGGCCTCGCTGGAGCAAATGGGTTGCTCCACCCAGCGGTCTATGGGGGCAGGATGTTAGGACTGGTCATTATGTCCATGGAGGACCAGACAATCTGTCTCACTGGCTTTGTTCACTGGATTACAGCCAGGTTGCGTGATGGGTGGGTGGAGTGTGGGTTGTTGGAAAAGGGGGTTTGTGGAGGGTTGGGGGGGGGCACAGGAGGAGTCATCCAGGGCCTAATTGAATGCTCTCTAAAAAAGGCTAGAGCAGGTGGACCAAAGCTCACAGGGGTTAGAAAGGTCAAGCTGAAGCTAAAATGATTCCTCCTAGCCAGCACAACATTTGTAAGCACAGGCTACATCGTCAATGTACACAACAAAAGCTGTACAAATAGGTAGTCAATAGGTAACTATAGCTGTCTGGACAGGTTAAACCAGCAAGTCATCAGCATTAATGTTAGGTAAGCTTTCACCTATACTTGATGGCCAGAGTGAACATACAATCATATAAATAGTATCTATAGAACAGGCATCCCCATTCAAGTTAATGTTCCAACAATGGGTTCTGTCAAATTGCCGCTTGAGCAGCTTTATTCTTTCTAGAGATTATATTTCAATGCATACAAAAGCCAGTTCTAAAAGGTGTAACAGAAAAAAATACTTTAATAAACCCAGACAATAGAGACCTACCACATGCCAACCCCACCTCCCTGAACCATTTGGCTACATTTTCCATCTCTATGGGTAGTAGCCTGGGACTCAAATGTAAAATAAAGTGAAACAATGGTGAGCGCAGCGTTCAGTCTGGTTTAACCAGGCTACGTAAATGAGGGCAAAGAGGAGAGTGAGGCAGCAGGACGCTGAAATGCTGTATACACTACTAGAGCCGTGTGGCTTTGTGGACTGCTCCCCCAGGGCCGCTTACATAAGGCCATCTGGCTCAGGGCTCTTCACGGGGCTACAGAGCTAGGCCAGGGGCTACAGAGCTAGACCAGGGGATACAGAGCTAGACCAGGGGCTACAGAGCTAGACCAGGGGATACAGAGCTAGGCCAGGGGCTACAGAGCTAGACCAGGGGATACAGAGCTAGGCCAGGGGCTACAGAGCTAGACCAGGGGCTACAGAGCTAGGCCAGAGGCTACAGAGCTAGGCCAGGGGCTACAGAGCTAGACCAGGGGCTACAGAGCTAGGCCAGGGGCTACAGAGCTAGACCAGGGGCTACAGAGCTAGACCAGGGGCTACAGAGCTAGACCAGGGGCTACAGAGCTAGGCCAGAGGCTACAGAGCTAGGCCAGGGGCTACAGAGCTAGGCCAGAGGCTACAGAGCTAGGCCAGGGGATACAGAGCTAGGCCAGGGGCTACAGAGCTAGGCCAGGGGCTACAGAGCTAGGCCAGGGGCTACAGAGCTAGACCAGGGGCTACAGAGCTAGGCCAGAGGCTACAGAGCTAGACCAGGGGATACAGAGCTAGACCAGGGGATACAGAGCTAGACCAGGGGATACAGAGCTAGACCAGGGGCTACAGAGCTAGACCAGGGGATACAGAGCTAGGCCAGGGGCTACAGAGCTAGGCCAGGGGCTACAGAGCTAGACCAGGGGATACAGAGCTAGGCCAGAGGCTACAGAGCTAGACCAGGGGCTACAGAGCTAGGCCAGGGGATACAGAGCTAGACCAGGGGCTACAGAGCTAGGCCAGGGGATACAGAGCTAGGCCAGGGGCTACAGAGCTAGACCAGGGGCTACAGAGCTAGACCAGGGGATACAGAGCTAGGCCAGGGGCTACAGAGCTAGACCAGGGGATACAGAGCTAGGCCAGAGGCTACAGAGCTAGGCCAGAGGCTAATATGGCATACTGCCCTGCCTGGATCTGTACGCTAACTGACGACGTTTGTTCCCTTTCAAAAGTAGATTCCCTTTCAAATGTACTGTAGATTCACTTTCAATGTAGATTTATTGTAGAAGATGGCATTTGAAATGGCTAAGAAGCAGTATGGTTAAATGTATTTTCTAAGGCCATCAAGTGGCTTTAATAGTCATAGTGAAATATTTCACATTGACATGTACTTCTAGACCAGTCTGATGGATCAGTATCATTGCAGATGTTCACTGAGTTTGTATGGATGAAGTGTAGACCTAATGTCCAAAGAAACTGTATGTAAAAAGACTAAACACAGAACAGCTTAACAACTGTACCAAACAGGCATGTTTAATTTTCACAATGACACATTTCAACAGGTACTGTAATATATCAAATACACATCATATATCTAAAATCCAAAAAACAACAACTCAATTTGCACATAGAGCTCGAGGCTCAAATACACAGAATAATAGTAACCAGACATTTTCAAAACAAAAGGAACGTGTCAAAATACATTTCCCAATACAATGCTTCTATACTGCATACACATTTACTTAGAGTGGAAATCTGAAATGCATCCTTGAATCATCATATAAATGATATCTTTGTGATGTTGATCATAATAAATGATACTGGATGAGGAATGATCAGATTTCCTTGCATTAAAAAGGCCACTAAGATTACTGTAAATCGGCACATGAAGCCTAACAAACCCATTCACTACAAAGGAAGGAAAAGCTTAGGCCTAAGTGACATTTCGATAAAGTTATTCTCGCTATCTGAGAAAACAAGGAAGTAGGCTACTGTTTTGCAGCTCTGTGATTCAAATAACACACTTCATTTTGGTCATGCAAAGTTGCAGCAGGAGGACTCTGGAAACTAAAAACGTTCAGCATGGATTTTGACTAGGTCTCTTCCTCAACACTTTATGAGGAATAGTAGTATGAATTTCAACAACCCATCTGAATGCCCTCCAGCATAGATTTAAAACAATATTGTTGTCGACATTTTGTAGTACACATTTTATTTCAGTGATAGACCCCCTGGCTTGCAAGGCCGATTTGTTGTTGTTGAATGAATGTTTGTCGGAGTTTGCCAATACAAGATAGACTAACCTACAGTACTTACTTGAACTGTACTCAGTGCCATTTCAAATCAGTTTGAAATAAAGGTGAGGTGTGAGGGTTTTTACACAGCATCTGCATTCAACTAACAACAGCCATTAAAACAGAGTCAGGCCAGAAAAAAGTCTGAGAAATAAATCATTAAAAGTAAAATGCACAATTTCAAAAACAAGTCTACAGCATAGATGGTTTGTCAAATATTCAAGTGGCAGAACAATTGCAAAAAATGTAATCCATCATCCAAAGTAAATATTATAAAAGCATTTAAAGAGAGAAATAATAGATAATTACTAAACTTAAATATATAAATATTTTTGTTGTTGTAATTTAATCATTTTCCATTGGGTGCCCGAGGCTAAGAAAATAGAGATGTTCAAAGCCTATCCAAAAAAACGTAATAATACATCAATGAAAGGTCCAGAGATCGACAAAAAAACCTGCGGAGTAGAAAGGTGTGCTTGCCTTGCATATGTCGTATTTGCTCTTTGTCCTTGTTGGAGTCTCCCCTTGTCCCTTCTGTCCTGCATTGAAAAGCTTTGGCACAGAGACACCATGGAGGGAGGGGATGTCACACATCACAACATGGTGCTAACGAGGGGTAGGGCACATATGCAGCAGGCCAGACCAGGCCGAGCCCCCAGCCTGGGTGAGAGGTGAAGTCACGCATCATCACTGTGCTGCTCTCTCTGACGCTCAGAGAGTAGATCAGGGGTGAGGGGTCAGATGTGAGGAGGTAAAGGTAGTGAGGGGTAGACCGTAGAAGGGGGTAGGCAGTGGGAGGGTTAGGGGCTCAGAACAGAGGGTGTCTTCGAACCAGAGCGCAGCGGTGGAGCCATTTTTCAACCCGTCTCCAGAAACAGAGAGCACTGTAGAAACGATAACCCACCGTCAATTTTGGCCCACACTTTTAAAACACTTCTGTCCACATTATTGGTGATTCTATCCCTCCGCCTCTGACCGTCTCTAGTCTGGTCTCTCTCACAGAGAAGACTCCACCTCTCGGGTGATGACCTCGGGCTCTGGCTGAGGGACCACCTGGACAACTGCAGCGGCCGCCTGCTCCAGGACTACAGCTCCGTCTGCGCCCTCTGGGGTCTCGCTGATTACCTCCATGGCCGAGGCCGCCAGCGCGTTCCCCTCGCTGCTCAGGATCATCTCGGCGCCCACCGGACCAGCACCAGCCACGCCCGGCTTGTCAGCAGTGCCACAACACAGCTTGGGTGCGCACTGCGTCCGGCAGGAGAGCTCGCAGAGGGAGGCGCTTGACTCGGAGTTGATGGTAACGAACTCGGGCTGGATGGTGGTGGCGTGGATGCCCTCGTCATGGAAGAAGTCCTTGATGCGCTTGGCCACGTCCATGTAGGACGTGGGGTCGTGACACTTTATGTGCGCCGTGGCGATGATGCGCGAGCCCGCCAGCTGCCAGATGTGCAGTTCGTGGATGGCCAGCACGCCATCCAGCAAAAGCAGCCGCTCATTGAGGCGGTGCATGTCGATCTGCTTGGGCACCGTCTGCAGGAGGATCAGCGCAGACTCTTTGAGCAGCGGGTAGGTGGTGTAGAGCAGGATACCCACCATGATGACGCACAGCGTGGGGTCCAGGTAGAGCACCCAGCACGGCCCCACCATGGTCCGCTGGAAGCTAGAACTGTTGCCGTTATCGCTCAGGTCGGTGGAGTGGCTGTCGATGCAGGGGTTGAAGCAGGTCTCGCCAGGCGGGCACGGTCGCCATACGAAGGTGAAGATGAGGGCGTTGACCACCACGATGACTGAGCCCAGGGCGTCGCCCAGCACATGCAGGAAGACACCGCGCATGTTGAGCGAGGCCTCGTCGTGGCTGTAGTCCAGCTCCTCGTAGGGAGCGCTGCCGTTCATCTGCATCTCACTGTCGTTACAAATGATCTCTGAAGGAAGAAGACAGAGAGACGAGGGGTTAAAGAAGTTTCCTTGAGATAAGCATCGACCTATAAGTGATTAGATAGGTGAAAGTAAAGTAACCACCATCCCCAATGACAGCCAATTCAGATGGAAGGTAGGAAGGATGCATTTTTAAAGCATTTTAACAGAGCCCACATATTTGAGAGGACAGAAGGAGGAATGTCAGAGAAAGTGGTAGGGGTTGGGACTCTTCCAAGGGATGGAGGAAAGAAAATTGAGATTTTTACAGAGACGAGGAATGACTGGAATATATAATCGTGAATGACTCACGCGTCCAGCTGCAATTTATCAGCTGCCTTGTCCAACTACTGACCCAAACAAACCATAATGATTGATGACTGCGTCAGGGTTTTTGGAGGACATGGTTGATGTACCGTAAGTTACGGCTGCCCCAGGCAATAAACACCTTGATAGGAAGCTACGTCATGTTAGACATGAAACCCATTTACTTTGTCGTGGGAAAGAATGTAGGCGTAGTGCATCACCTGAGGCAGGCCTCCAGTTGCAGTTCTAGACATGAACTCCAACCGGTGTGGTGGTAGAAGCTAGTAAATTAACCAACCACAACCGACTCCCCTGCTTAACACCTTGAGGAAATTCAATTAGCGTCTGCAGACAAGTGTGGCGGCCTAGCACTACGCTACGGCTCATAGTTACATAATGGCCAGTGGCACCAGAACCAGTGCTAGGCTATTAGCCTCTGTCCCGGCACACAGTGACGTAGGGGTAATTTATCAGGGCCTAATGGTCTGGGTGTCAGTCACTGCCTTCGGTGATGTATGGCCGGGTGGCAGCGACCAGTGCATGGAGAAGGTTGAAATGGGCTGAATTTATTGAAACTGGCAGAGCCTGACAGGCCCAGGGTAGGGGAGAAACTTACAGTCTCCTGGTTTTACTATTTTCTGTCCAAATAGGAAGAAAGGCAAAGGGCAGCCCTTAGTATTAGCAAGGAGATGTTCAAAATATGTTTCACCTGAAACTGGAGGATCACCAGAAACAGAGAGCACTGTAGAAACGATAACCCACCGTCAATTTTGGCCCACACTTTTAAAACACTTCTGTCCACATTATTGGTGATTCTAATGATACCATGACATGACCACCTGTTAATATGATAAAACAATAGGTGACATGAATCACTGAAGGCCTGTGACAGTGAATAAACAGAAAGAAAATGGCGTATAAAAACGTGGGTTTTGTGAAAGAAGCCAACTTCCTGTTATGGGTGTAGCAGCACCAGTAGTGACAATAGAGATCAAGTGTCTTCATAAAAGGTCACGATTTGAATGTGTAAGAGTTCAAACATTCCTTAATTTACCCAATGCAGTTGGAGTGACCAAATCAGGATGGCAGGACTCCCACCAGTTTGGTTTTGTAACAAGTCATGACTTGTCCGCCACCATGTAAAACACGTGTCAAACTCATTCCACAGAGGGCCGAGTGTCTGCGTGTTTTCGCTCCACCTCTTGTATTTGATTGATGAAATAAGGTCACTAATTAGTAAGGAAATCCCCTCACCTGGTTGTCTAGGTCTTAACTGAAAGGAAAAACTAAAACCTGCAGTCACTCTGTGGAATGAGTTTGACACCCTTGATGTAACACGTCTGCAGGCTGACCGGGGGCTAGATTCTTCAGATAAGAAAGATCACCTCGAAACAAACTTATGTTACAGTGAGCATGAAGGGCACACAGGTTTAGGAAGCATTAGGTATTTTACAGACAAGCTAAGAGGCATATTTATCCAGTTATTGCCTATATGATGACATGACATCAAAAATAATTGTCTCCTAAAGTGGTACAAATAATGAATGAGTTACTTGAATTACAAGGTCTGTCTTGCACTCTCATTGCCTCTGCTAAAGGTACTTCAACATGGGGTGTGCAATATGGACGCAGTCATGGGCCACATTGTTCAGTATCAAGTCACTGCTGATACCAGTCGCTGAAGTTTATGAATATTACAATGAATATAATAGCCCTGTCCCGGTTCCTGTTCAAAACTGAAAGCGACTGGCTGGATTTCATCATGATGCTGCCCACACGACTCTTTGACTGGTCTTGTAAAAGGGCTCCTACAGCTTCCAAGGCAACAGATGATACTGATGATGCCCAAGCCAGGAGATACACACCAGCCCAGCCAAGACCATGTGAGACTGGTATCTTGATCAACAGGGCAGTTGTGTTGAATGTCTCTCCTCAAAGGCAAAAATATGAAAGGGTTAAGGTAATTTCCATGTGAAAGGACCCATGAGCACCAACATGTGAAGTCCATAGGAGCATGTCAAATTGGGTGTCAAATGAAAGCTAAGAGTCTATTTTTTTTATTTTTTATTACGACACACACACACACACACTAAATTTTTTACAATTATTTTCCCATCCTAAAAAGTATGAATAGGCTTTGATATCTTGTCAAACAGATGGAAAGGGGGTTAGACAACATCTACCAGAAAAAGTCTTAAGGTATTAGAAACACAACAAAACAAAAGAATGTTGAAGTACACACCCCTGCCAACTTTTCTGCCTTTTGTTAGTTTAAGAATTATTACCTTGTGCCTTAATTCCGTTACCTTAAACCTACATATCTTCAAGATGTCTTCTAATTTCTCTCCCTCATGAGGGAGGATAATGAAAGTTCAGAAGTAACAAGGTAGACCTATCAATTAGTTAGATATTAATTTTGTTTATGAATTATGAAGTGATTAAAACTTAATTGTTACCAAAATCAGTAACAGAATTTCTGAAATGTTATTGGCTACAATGGGAAATCATAGTAGTCACAAACCACACTTGGGTCAACAACTACTGTCCTCCCTTCCACTGGCATACTGTTAGGCTTATGTTCAGCTGAAATTTGGTTAGTCCGCCCTGGCCTTGATTTCAACACCCATAGATATCTGGACCGGCCTCCATTTGGCCCAAACATGGACATCCATGATTGGTACAGTACATTACATTACAGTAGAGCACCGTAGAGTACATTGAATACATCAAAGCGTATAGTACAATACAGTAAAGAGAAGTAGAGTAAAATTCAGTACAGTACACAGTAGAGTACACTCGAGTTGAGTACACTATAATTGACTGTACTGAACTATACTCTACTGTACTCTATTGTACTGCAGTGAACTCTACTGTACTGATCGCTACTGTTCTGTGCTGTACTTTAATGTCAACTCTTGTGAAACAAACGTCTATGGTTGGTTCAGATTTGGTCCAGTCCAACCAAATTTGGTCTTGTTTAGTGACAGAGCTCATTAAAATAATAGCCAGTATGTAGAATAATACCCAAATATGCAAAGGAGGATATTGCATATTTATACCTTTGTGTACCTATTTAGGATACATCACCATGAAGAGAATGACATTCATATCCATAATTATGCATTTCTGTGTAGTACAGATCAGGGACCCATGATGAAATTCTGTTACCGGGTGTAAATCCTCTTCAATAACCTTAAAAGATTATAATTTATTTTACTCAAGATGTCATGTCATAGCTTACACCCCATTCTTTCTGCAAACAACATTGAATCTTAATTTGGAGCCAATATTCAATATCATTAAATTAAACAATACATTTGACTGTTTTTACCATTCTAACTACATAACTTAATAGTAATACATTTTTTTTTTGAATGGTAAATCTCTTGATAAACTGGGTAAATTAAGATGGAATAGGCCTCCTCACAATACATGTGAATGCATATTCGAACCTCCATTTGGGACTTATATTAACCTACTGATCAACAACATTTGCAAAGAAGCATCACTCCAGCATGTCAGGCCTGTATGGAAGGACATCATATAGGCACTGCCGTTAGTTTGATAATATAAAATAACATCTATTCAATGCAAATGGTTCCACCTAATTTCATGATTTGTGATCAGGGATGCTTATGAAACTATTATTTTTAGTCAATTTCCATGATCTGTATATTGTATTTATTTGTTTTGCTGTCAGGAAGCATCTCTAAAACAACTCCACACGACCCTTATTATTGGTGAATTAACTAAACGAATATTTGCAACAGGAGTTCGATTTTGGACACTGTCAACTCATCAATTTCTCAATACTTCACCTTTCTGTTGGAGAATGAGCTTGCGCGCTGCTGCTCCCTGCTAGACATTCCTCGGCATTGTGCAGTGCTCCTGACTCAGGCGGTGAGTGGCAGTTGGCATAGCAGCATTTTTGCCATGTAGCGAGACTATCAGAAAAACCGATAGCGATTATCCGTGGTTCTCAAAAAATCTTATGGTTTTTGTTTGGCATGCATTTAAGTGAGTCTCATCGCAGTTCCGTTACAACGGAATTGCCCTTAACAAGAACACCACAGAGATGGCTTAGTTTGGACTAAAGATCGCTCCATCTTGAGTAGGCCCTATGGCCTACGTAATTTTGTCAGCAAAGTCCCAGAGAAGTTTCAGTTATTTTCATAAATTCCCTGTCTGTGAGATTATGTGAGTGTGTGTTCGGTCTACCCCCTCTCCTCAATAAAATATATTATTTTAATTCGATGAAACCACATAAAACAAGAGACATACTTGCGGGGTTATATTTCATATCTGATATCATAATGAAGCGTTCGTTGTCTTCATAGTAGTACAATGAACCCGAGGTGAAAAACAACGCAGTATCATGGGGCGCCGGAGGGTCATATTCTCAGTTAAGGTGTGACGATTGTAGCTAGCCAAGTACAGTAGCTACAATATGTTGACAGTATAGCTAATATAATAGACAAATGAATGACATAGCTTACCATGTCTACGTCTCTCGGTGTTCACGCCATTAGGGGGGCTGTTGTGGCTTCCTACCAGGTTGTTGGTCTCCTCCCCTGATGATCCATTCGGTCTTTCTGACTTGCATAGTTTACCCCTCTTGTTTTTCTTATTTCCATGAGAATGGCCTCCTCCTCCGTGGGAGTGCCCGTGTCCACCACCTGCGTGTCCACGGAACAAGCACAGCCCGAGGAGGTTGACCAGTAGCCCGGCAGCCCCCACACCGATGACTACATGGGGTTTCTCGATTTCATGTGGGTTGGTGAATCGCTCGACGGCCTCCAAGATGATGGTGAAACAGAGAGCTGTGAGGAACACTGCGTTGACCAGAGCCCCCATCACCTCAGCCCGGATCCATCCGAAGGTGTTTTTATTTGTCGATTGTGTTTTCTGAGCGAAGCGCACAGCCACCAAAGCCACAAACAGCGCTATGACATCCGATAGCATATGAAAGGAGTCCGAAAGCATTGCTAAAGATGCAGTGATCCGACTGACGACAACCTCCACGATAAAAAAGCCAAAAGTCAATGAAAGCATACATATTAGCCGCACACGATTAGGCTCACAAGCCATTTCTCTCCGCTGATCACTTGTTTATTTAGATAGCGTTAACTAGCTAGCTAGCTTACGATATGCACGTACGGTGATGGTATACTAGCTGTAACGTTAGCTACAACATGCGAGCCAATCGATAGGCATATGATGGGATTCCACCACGTCTTGTAAATATTTATACGCTCGCTAACAATTCGTCATTATCGCACGATTACAACCGAGTCCAATTCCAGATACAGCTAAGACCGATGATGGTTCCTAAAAAGCAGTCAATTGGGAAAATTAAAAGAGCATATTCCAGAAACGTTGACCGTAGACTTCGATTTGCAGACGGCTGAAACTTTGCACCCGAGCCGGTAAAGTTTCCACACGAAATAAGGCGAATGAGAGGCACGCCCTGGTCTTTTGCTATTGGTTGTTAGGGATAAAGTAGAATTTGGTTGGTCACTTTGTACATCCATTTCACGTGGACGGAGCTCATCGTTGCTATGTAGCCACGTTGCGTAATGCAAACATTTCTGACTCATCATTTTTTAGGATGGTGTGTAGCATCGGCACACGATCCGCTTGTCTTATTTCTGCGTGGTAACAAAATGGTATCCATCCGAAATACATTACGTTAGACTACTTGTCAATCACCAAACTGAAAAGAAGACTAGTCCTACTAGACCATAGGTCTAAATAAAAATCGACGTATTCTTTCGCCATCTGTTCAAACATCTTTGATAGGTAAAATGTCCTGGCAATACTTCAGTAGATTGAATAACTTTCAATGCATCTAGGGCTATTTTTATTTTTTATTTTTTTTATTTCACCTTTATTTAACCAGGTAAGCCAGTTGAGAACAGGTTCTCATTTACAACTGCGACCTGGCCAAGATAAAGCAAAGTAGTGCAATAAAAACAACACAGAGTTACATATGGGGTAAAAAAACATAAAGTCAGAAATACAACAGAAAATATATATACAGTGTGTGCAAATGTAGCAAGTTATGGAGGTAAGGCAATAAATAGGCTATAGTGCAGAATAATTACAATAGTATTAACACTGGAATGCTAGATGTGCAAGAGATTATGTGCAAATAGAGATACTGGGGTGCAAAAGAGCAAAATAAATAACAATATAGGGATGAGGTAGTTGGGTGGGCTAATTTCAGATGGGCTGTGTACAGGTGCAGTGATCGGTAAGGTGCTCTGACAACTGATGCTTAAAGTTATTGAGGGAGATAAGAGTCTCCAGCTTCAGAGATTTTTGCAATTCGTTCCAGTCATTGGCAGCAGAGAACTGGAAGGAATGGCGGCCAAAGGAGGCCGAGTGGCGCAGTGGTCTAAGGCACTGCATCGCAGTGCTAGCTGTGCCACTAGAGATCCTGGTTCAAATCCAGGCTCTGTCGTAGCCGGCCGCAACCGGGAGACCCATGGGGCGGCGCACAATTGGCCCAGCGTCGTCCAGGGTAGGGGAGGGAATGGCCGGCAGGGGATGTAGCTCAGTTGGTAGAGCATGGCGTTTGCAACGCCAGGGTTGTGGGTTCGATAAAATAATGTATGTGCTAACTGTAAGTCGCTCTGGATAAGAGCGTCTGCTAAATGACTAAAATGTAAAATGTAAAATGTGTTGGCTTTGGGGATGACCAGTGAGTTATACCTGCTGGAGCACACACTACGGGTGGGTGTTGCTATGGTGACCAGTGAGCTAAGATAAGGCTGGGATTTGCCTAGCAGTGATTTATAGATGGCCTGGAGCCAGTGGGTTTGACGACGAACATGTAGTGAGGACCAGCCAACAAGAGCGTACAGGTCACAGTGGTGGGTAGTGTATGGGGCTTTGGAGACAAAACGGATGGCACTGTGATAGACTACATCCAATTTGCTGAGTAGAGTGTTGGAGGCTATTTTGTAAATGACATCGCCGAAGTCAAGGATCGGTAGGATAGTCAGTTTTACGAGGGCATGTTTGGCAGCATGAGTGAAGGAGGCTTTGTTGCGAAATAGGAAGCCGATTCTAGATTTAACTTTGGATTGGAGATTCTTTATGTGAGTCTGGAAGTTGAGTTTACAGTCTAACCAGACACCTAGGTATTTGTAGTTGTCCACATACTCTAGGTCAGACCCGTCGAGAGTGGTGATTCTAGTCGGGTGGGCGGGTGCCAGCAGCGTTCGATTGAAAAGCATGCATTTAGTTTTACTAGTGTTTAAGAGCAGTTGAAGGCTACTGAAGGATTGTTGTATGGCATTGAAGCTCGTTTGGAGGTTTGTTAACACAGTGTCCAATGAAGGGCCAGATGTATACAAAATGGTGTCCCTCACACTCACATGATTCAGTTTGGTGGAGGCTCTTGACCTGCAGATTTCTCCTAAGCCACTTTCGAACCAGCTTTCAACCTTTCCAACATGAAGGGAAAATATAAGGAGAAATGATGACCTCATGTGGGAGATACTGATAACTACAACCCTTTGGATCTACAGTAGCCGATCTACGTCATCGGGCTGTAAAAATGTTTCCCTTTCCATTTTTTTGTCATTTAGCAGACTCTTATCCAGAGCGATTTACAGTTAGTGAGTGCATACATTTTCATACTGGCACCGTGGGAAACGAACCCACAACCCTGGCGTTGCAGGCGCCATGTTCTACCAACTGAGCTACAGGGGACGCACTATATGGTATGTTCCCACATGCTTATGTGAAAATGTAATCAAAAATGTGAATTAAGTTTAGAAACTTCATCATGCAACCAAAATAAAGTACATGATGCCAATTTTAGATGAATAAGACAATTCAAGGGCAAAGGAACAATAAAGCAAGGACAAAGGTCAATCAGTTGTCAGTTCAACAGAAAGTAATGCCACGTTCCTATCATATCGGAAACTCAGAAATGTTTGACTATACAGAGTTTACCATTTGGGAAGTATCACAGTCAACCAATAGGAAGCCCTACGCAAATAACGTATGTTCATTTTAACTCGGAGGTTCTGAATTTCAGACATGATGTGAACGCAGCATGGAACTTTGCACCCGAGCTGCTTCGAACACACCGACTGTGCATGCGTTTGGTACAACAATGGAACGCGGCGTTTGCCTTGCAGCATTGCGTTGCAGAGGCAGTTGTAGTGCGTTCTGTGTGGTGCATACTTTGGATTTATCGAACGTATGCGTCAAACTGTATGCGTAAACGGGTTGACAGAAATGGTGGCAGAAGGTGAATGTTGAACTTTTGTTGCACACATATCTAGATGATGCTGCATACTATTTTGCGCAAAAACACAGTCGGTGTGTTCAACTTTCCACACATAACGAGAGGAACGAGAGGCACGCCCTGGTCTTTTGCTATTGGTTGTTAGAGACAAAGTAGAATTTGGTTGGTCAATTTTTACAACCGTTTCACGTGGGCGGAGCCCAGCGTTGCTATGTAGCCACGCTGCGTAATGCAAACGTTTCAACGTCATCGTTTGGAATGAACTGCGAACTCATCCAAAATTCTGACTCGTCATTTTTTAGGATAGTGTGTAGCATCTCCACACGGCCCCCTTGTCTTATTTCTGAGTGGTAACAAAATGGTATCAATCCAAAAATACATTAAGTTAGACTACTAGTCAAGCACCAAACTGAAAAGAAGACTAGTCCAACTAGACTGTAGGTCTCAATAAAAATCGATGTAATATTTTGTCATCTGTTCAAACATCTTTGATAGGTAAAATGTCCTGGCAATACTTCAGTAGATTGAATAACTTTCAATGCATCTAGAGCTAGGCCCTCACGTGGGAGATACTGATAACTACAACCCTTTGGATCTTCAGTAGCCGACCTACGTCACCGGGCTGTACATTTTGTTTCCCTTTCCATTGTTTCAAGTGAAACTAAGTCAGTCAATCACCAGATAAACTCTTTACGAGGTGTGAATGGAGATCAATGCATGTAACAGAAACCTTTCATTTAGAAAAATAGATAATGTAGATCTACATTCTGCGACAGTAATCACTCTGATTACATCTGCCTTTAATGTTTACAAGAGGACATTCACTACGTTATGTTCCCACATAATTTACATGGCCAAATGTATATGCAAACTGCTTATGTGAAAAATGTAATCAAAAATGTAAATGAAGTTTAGAAACATGCATACCAAGAGTTGAACTTCATCATGCAACCAAAATAAAGTACATGATGTCAATTTCAGATGAATAAGAGACAATTCAAGGGCAAAGGAACAATAAAGCAAGGACAAAGGTCAATCAGTTGTCAGAAAGTAATGCCACGTTCCTGTCATGTCGGAAACTCAGAAATGTTTGACTTGCTTGTTGTAGAAAAATTATTCAAAGTTTACCACTTGGCAAGTATCACAATCAACCAATAGGAAGCTCTACGCAAATAACTTGTTAATTTTAACTCGGAGGTTCTGAATTTCAGACATGATGTGAACGCAGCATAGAACTTTGCACCCGAGCTGCTTAAGTTTCCACTTTCTACGCATAACTAGAGGAACGCCCTGGTCTTTTGCTATTGGTTGTTAGAGATAAAGTCGAATTTGGTTGGTCAATTTTTACACCCGTTTCACGTGACCGGAGCCCAGCGTTGCTATGTAGCCACATTGCGTAATGCAAACGTATCAACGTCATCGTTTGGAATGAACTGGGAACTCATCCAAAATTCTGACTCGTCATTCCTTAGGATAGCGTGTAGCATCTCCCTTATCTTATTTCTGTGTGGTAACAAAATGGTATCCATCCAAAATACATTAGGTTAGACTACTTGCTTGTCAAGCACTTACAAACTGAAAAGACTTGGCCAACTAGACTATCGGTATAAATGAAAATCGACGTATTATTTAACCATCTGTTCAAACATCTTTGAGAGGTAAAATGTCCTGGCAATTACTTCAATAGCTTGAACAACTTTTAATGCTAGGCCCTCACACATTCACAGGATTCACTATATATTTTTTTTGAGTCATTTAACAGACACTCTTATCCAGAGCGACTTACAGTTAGTGAGTGCATACAATATTATATATTTTTATACTGCCAAAACCAAAATAAAGTACATGATGCCAATTTTAGATGAATAGGAGACAATTCAAGGGCAAAGGAACAATAAAGCATTAAGGACAAAGGTCAATCAGTTGACAGTTAAACAGAAAGTGGACCTGCCCAAACAGACATTTGTTGAAGGTCACCAGTGCCTGTTTTTAACAGAAAACAACAGCCTCAAAGTTTGCCAACCCATCCCAATATCATATTTGCAAAACATTTACATATTTCCAGAAGAGAAGTGTATGTGGGAGTGTACATCTATTTATACATCTTCAGATAACGTACTAACATTGCCCTTTAAATATATTTAATGCCACCATACAGTATGTACATAGTGGTTATAAATCACATTCACAAATCATAACTTCAGTGCAATTCTGTGTATCAACAAGACATTTGAAATGTTAAGGTTGAAAAAACACAAACACCACTAAAAACAGATATCTGGCATCCAAAATTTGGCAATTTTACAACAGTACAAATCACTCACCATAATACAAATAAATTAAAGCTACATATTTTCTCTAAAGGGTATGGATCGCTAGCTTCAATAGCTCTGAAACTCTCTAATGTTAGTCAGGAACACTAAAGCAGAGCCTGCAACTTCTGGGACACACCTAAGACAACTATCTAGTCATCCATCCACATGACACTGATAGTCAGGCCCTATGCAGCAGACGCTTTGGGGGCTAGCGGATGCCTAGGATCTGCCAGCTCTTCAGCTGGTAGTGCCTCGCCACCTCCCCCAGGGTCTGGGCCCGCATGTTGGCTGCCTGCAGCCTCTTCTTCAGCCTCAGCTCCTGGCTCTTCACACTCTGCTTCTGATCGGGCCTCTGGTTCTCTTTGCTTTCTCCGGAAAAATGGACCTTCTTTCCAGGGGAGACGTTCTCCTCTCCCTCATCTAAGGGGCCAAGACGGCAAAGAGTTACAAATGTGGAATACGTTTTATTGAACTCTACAAAAAATATTTCAGATAAACCCTCCTTTGTAGGATGCCTCTGTGATTTGTCAGACTACCCAGAAATGTTCAAGTTTGTAATTTATCCAGAGGGGAAAAAAACACTGAAATTGGAGATAACTTGATGAGACACTTATCTAAATCAAATGTGTTTCCCCCTTTTATTTCATTTGAAAACACAGTTACCCCATGGCTACCGTATATTATATTGTTGAACTTCAATTAAGAAGCAAAACAAGTATCCCTCATTTACCTCCTGGTTCCCACCCCATGTTTGTTGCAGGTTTTATTGAAGTAAAAAAACAAACATTTACAAGGTTAAAATGTCTAAATAGACTAAAATACAGTAAAACGTTAAAAATCCCCCAATTACAGAAGTGAACACAATGCAATGCTCAGTTCTTCTCTATGTTCAGGGGGTCCAGAGGCCTTCGCTTGACTCCCATACCCATTTCATTGGAAGAGAGCGGTGGCAGGGCCTTCTGCTGTTTCACCAAGTTGTAGCTCTTCAACAAACTCTCCGCTCTGAAACAAAAAGAAAACATTGTTGGGAGTCAAAATGGATTATACCCGCTTGCAGTTTTATAGTAAGCAATGAGATTATAACACCAAAGCAGGAAGCAAAAGTAGCATTTAGCCCTAGGATTTAGTCTAATGTGACATTAAACAGCAGTTTGCTGCATTTCAAGTAAATTAAGTGATCCAAGGGAGCTCCGTTTTACCTGGCAAGCTTCTCATTTGATAGTCTCTCACGAACACAAAGCTCCTGCTCCCGCTCTGTAGGAGGAATGGAAACACATTCACCAGAGTTAAATTAATCATCCCTCAGGTTACAAACAATTCAGTCTGTGTACTCGGTAGCATAGCCAGTGACACATTGACTTCCTTTACAAGCAATCATTTCAGCAATCCACACCCAGCAACACTGACCCAAAAAACATGCTTGTTCCAACACTAGATGGTCTCGTCTGTGACTAGGACATTATAGGGACCAGGGTTGGGGTTGAATACGTTTTCAATTCAGGACATTCATTGAAATGGACAGAATTGAGCCCAACCCTGATAAGGGCAAACAACACTCACGCTCGAGCCTCTCCTCGCGCTCCTTCAGGGCCTTCTCCCTGTGCCATAGCACCCGCTCCTTCAGCCTCAGTACTGCAATGGTAGGAGTGGTTGAAGACTCTGCAGGCTTTGGTTTCTCTGGATCGGCCGACCTCCTCCGGTGTCTTGCCTGCGCCCGCCTCTGCTCATCGGCGACCAGGTCCACCAACAGGCTGCTCTGGAGAATGGACTCAACTGAGGGCCTCAGGTAGTCCTGGCAACGAGGCACAACAGTCAAATCAACAAAGCAAACTGGCAGATTCAGTAGAACAGAGAGAAAGGGATTCAAATCTCTTGACGTTGAAATTGTATATTGAGCATAATTATGTGCTTGGAGATTCAGACAAACAATCAATCATCTCCTCAACAGAAGTGCAGCAGTGAGGAGTTGCTCACAAGATGCCCTGAACTCTATATGGAGATTATCGGTGCTGTGAAACATATTCCAAACCTTTAAATGGAGCATTCTGGACAGGAGTGTATTCAGCTCCTCTGAATACCGGTAGGGGATTCTCCTAAACTTTCCCTCTCGGATCTTCTCTGCCAGCTCTTTTTGGTTATAAGCCGTGAAAGGAGGCCTACATGGAAGAAACGCATTCTTCAGACTCTAATCTAATGCATTGACTGGGGGATATTGAGTAAGAATATAATGACAGGCAAGGTAACTCACGATAAGGCACAGAGTTCGTACAACAAGCACCCCAGGGACCAAATATCCGATTTCTCATTGTAGGACATGCGATTCATTTGTTCCTGGAAAATATGAAAGTGTCCACACATGGACTGACTGATTAGACAACCTGAGCATTTCTCTCTAAAATCATTATGAAAAAAATAGTATCTACTTTTAAAACCATAATCATAGTTCGAGTCGGTATTGACTATTTCCCCATCGGGAAACACCATGGAGTACTCGTAGACCGCCAGCAAAATAAGCCTCTATTGACATGTTGCTTATGAGTGCATTTCACATAACTTTTGGATTATAAATTGGATTGTAAGGCTCGTATGAATGTCCTGCTTAATATAATGTTTGTCATTGTCGCCAATCAACTGCATTATACTTAAACACTTCAATCAGTAAAAATTCCCTTTGGCTAACTTTGCCACAACCTACATCAATGAGCATTAGCATTCTAGCTCAGTGGTTCCCAACCTTTTTCTGTTACTGTACCATCAAGTACATTTTGCTCTGCCCGGAGTAACCCTGAAGTACCCCCTCATGTGAATTTTATCAGTAAGCCTTTGGTCTCATGAGTCTTCTCTAGTACCCCTTGTGAATAGGCCAAGTACCCCCAGGGTCCTAGTACCCCGGGTTGGAAACCACTGTTCTAGCGAACTACTGCATCAAAAATAGATATTTTAAGATCACAAACAAATATAATCTCACCAACTGTTCAAGCAATAACCAAAACATTGTAAGCGTTTGAGAACCCCCCCCCCCTCCCAAAAAACATAGCCTAGATTTACTATGTTGAAAGGGCGCAGATGGCGAACAGCAGTTTTCCCCCACGGTGGCCATTCATGTGGCTACTTGTTTATGACATGAATAGCGACTCGGTGTATAGAAGGATTCACAATTGTATGATTGCCTTTGCTTTGGACTCACAGGAGACATGTAGTACGGGGTCCCGACGAAAGTCTTAGCGAAACTGGTATCATGGTTCAGGATTCGTGCAAGACCAAAGTCGCCAAGCTTGACATTCTGCTTGACATCCAGGAAGATATTGGCGGGCTTAAGATCTCTGTGCAGCACTGTGGCCCCACCATCGCTCCGGCGATGGCAGTCCTTCAGGGCAAGAGTGAGCTGTGCCATGACTCGCATGATGAATTCCTCCTCCAAGTAACGCCTGGACACCAGGAATACAACATACACGTTTTACTAGTCGCCTGTAAGAGATACGCATGATATGCACCATTCAACGAAATGCTTACTTGCAGGTTCCTTCTTGACAACGCAACAATAAGAAATAATAAAAAGATAATACAAACATAAAGTAAATGGCTCAGTAGAATTAACCTTTTAGCATCAGTATAATACAGGAAGGCACAATGTATAGTCCAATATTTAGACGTGTATTTGGGAAGTGGGGGATGGGGGGCAGTGTATAAACTGAGCAGTATAATAAGTGTCTGGTAGCAGCAGTTGTGATGTGTGTGTAGCATGAATGTATGTGTCTGTACAGTGCTACAGGAAAGTATTCAGACCCCTTGACTTCTTCCACATTTTGTTACGTTACAGCCTTATTCTAAAATGGATTCAATTGTTTTTTCCCCACTCATCAATCTACACACAATACCCCATAATGACAAAGCAAAAACAGGCTTTTAGAAATGTTACATTTACATAAGTATTCAGACCCTTTACACAGTACTTAAAAAAATTATATGTATTTATGTATTTTTATTTTTTAGGGGGTACTTCGTTGAACCACCTTTGGCAGCGATTACAGACGAGTCTTCTTGGGTACGCCACTACAAGCTTGGCACACCTGTATTTGGGGAGTTTCTCCCATTCTTCTCTGCAGATTCTCTCAAGCTCTGTCAGGTTGGATGGAGAGCGTTGCTGCACAGCTATTTTCAGGTCTCTCCAGAGATGTTCGATTGGGTTCATGTCCGGGCTCTGGCTGGGCCACTCAAGGACATTCAGAGACTTGTCCCGAAGCCACTACTGCGTTGTGTTGGCTGTGTGCTTAGGGTCATTGTCCTGTTGGAGGGTAAACCTTTGCCCCAGTCTGAGGTCCTGAGTGCTCTGGATCTCTCTGTACATTGCTCCATTAATCTTTCCCTCAATCCTGACTAGTCTCCCAGTCCCTGCCACTGAAAAACATCCCCACAGCATGATGCTGCCACCACCATGCTTCACCGTAGGGATGGTGCCAGGTTTCCTCCAGATCTGACACTTGGCATTCAGGCCAAAGAGTTCAATCTTGGTTTCATCAGACCAGAGAATCTTGTTTCTCATGGTCTGAGAGTCCTTTAGGTGCCTTTTGGCAAACTCCAAGCAGGCTATCATTTGCCTTTTACTGAGGCGTGGCTTCTGTCTGGCCACTCTACCATAAAGGCCTGATTGGTGGAGTGCTGCAGAGATGGTTGTCCTTCTGGAATGTTCTCCCATCTCCACAGAGGAACTCTGGAGCTCTGTCAGAGTGACCATCGGGTTCTTGGGCACCTCCCTGACCAAGGCCCTTCTCCCTCGATTGCTCAGTTTAGCCGGGCAGGCCAGTTCTAGGAAGAGTCTTGGTGGTTACAAACTTCTTCCATTTAAGAATGATGGAGGCCACTGTGTTCTTGGGGACCTTCAATGCTGCAGGCATTTTTTGGTACCCTTCCCCAGATCTGTGCCTCGACACAATCCTGTCTCGGAGCTCTACGGACAATTCCTTCAACCTCATGGTTTATGCTCTGACATGCCCTGTCAACTGTGGGACCTTATCTAGATAGGTGTGTGCCTTTCCAAATCATGTCCAATCAATTGAATTTACCACAGGTGTACTCCAATCAAGTTGTATAAACATCTCAAGGATAATCAATGGAAACAGGATGTACCTGAGCTCAATTTCAAGTTTCATAGCAAATGGTCTGAATACTCATGTAAATAAGGTATGTTTTTGTGTTTGTAATACATTCTCAAAAATGTCTAATGCCTGTTTTCACTGTCATTATGGGGTATTGTGTGTAGATTGATGAGGGGAAAATGTAATCAATTTTAGAATAAGGCTATAACGTAACAACATTCGGAAAAAGGGGTCTGAATACTTTCCGAATGCACTGTATGTCTGTGTGGGTGTGTGCATGAGTGAGTGCATGTGTGCTAAGGTGCCCCGTGTAGCTCAGTTGGTAGAGGATGGCGCTTGCAACGCCAGGGTTGTGGGTTCGTTTCCCACGGGGGGCCAGTATTAAAATGTATGCACTCACTAACTGTAAGTCGCTCTGGATAAGAGCATCTGCTAAATGACTAAAACGTAAATGTGCAGAGAAGCTCCTGCATGAACTGAAGCATCCAAACAATAAGTTATCAACCAATACTGCAACTTTGAACATGCCAAATGTACACCAAATGTACTTAATAAAAAGGAGAAGGTAACTACATTTGATGTATTATTATTTTCAGTCATGCCAACCCTCAAGAGTTTTCCTACAGGCTGGCAGACCCATGTTCAAAACCCACAAAGGGTGTTGCACTGTCGCAGTTCCCTACCTAGATGTCAGAGTGGAAGGCCATCAGATAGATGTATACATGATGGACGGACAAGGGAACCAAGGTAAATACGACAGCACAAAACACACACCTTTCTTTGATGCATCTGGTGATGAGGCTGGAGAGGTCGCCGCCTTCACAATGCTCCATAACGATGTACAGTGTGGTGTTGGTCCGGTCAATGATGCGGTCATAATATCTCACAATGTTTGGATGCTTCAGTTCACGCAGGAGATTGACCTCTGACACCAGCATCTGCTTCTCGCTCTCAGCCATTGTGCCGTAGTCCAACTCCTTCCAAACTAGAATCTATGACGAAACCCAGACACAACAGAACTAAACATGTATTGATTGGCCAATGCTTGTTGATTTTGGGAAACATTTAAAATATATACATAGTTAGTGTAGGCTATTTGCTAGCTACTTGTTTGTTTTACGTCAAATTCTGGCTTAGCTAAATGTTAGCAGTATGACACCTGCCATATCATGAAACTATACAGATCCTCACCGTTTTAGACAAACATGGCAAATGCTTTAGTTTTGCGGGTGTGTGGAGGTCTGGCTTTGTTCCCCGCTTTATGTCCAATGAGGTCATTTCTGAAAAAAATGTCTGTCCACTTAGGGGACACCGTTTGTCTCGTCTCAAGAGCACCCCCCAGTGGCAAACGTTACGCATGGGCTCTGGTTACCTTGCCAGGTGGCAATCAGAGCATGCAACGCAAACAGATAGCTAACGTTGGTCGAACAACACCTTAAACAGCGAAACACTTACCTTCGCATCAGATTTCCTCCGTATTTTCTGACATTTGCCGTAAGATCCTGACCCTATGGTATACAACACCTCATAATCCTCAACACGAGATGGCATTTTGTCGTAGCGAACGTTACTAGTATCTAACTAGTTAGCTAAATCCAAAGGTTGCAATGCAAGGTAGCTAAAGCAGCTGGTTAGCGAAGGAGAGCAAAAACGTGTGCTCTCGCAATGACGACTATTCTGGACGTTTTCTTTGTTGAAATAACGTTAGTAGATGCTGGCTATATCTCTTCGATAACGTATTGATAAGCAAGCTAACTACTTGTCAAAACAACGTGTTCTGTTTTGATAACACAAGCAAGGATTGCTGACGCTGGTTTCAAATTGGTGGCTGAATTCTTCAATGTGATTGGTCCGCCTACTACATATAGGATATTCTGATTGGCTATAATGAAGACACAAGCTGCCGGTTGCTAAGCATCTGAAACCCGCGAGATTTGGCGCGGGTGTTTAAAGGGGAATAAATATATTGCCGACGGGAACCGTTCTTTTTATACCTCAGTGACGGAAACGTTCTATCAAAGACAGTACGATTGCGTGGGAAATAGATTTGCATACTGCATTTGTCCAAATTAAAATGTAGTAATGTAATAAGTACACAGAACCTCACGTGTACATCTAAAATATGGAATCTTCACTTCCTGATTACCACAGAGTTTAAATAATCTAAACCATCTTTGACACTACATTTACATTTTTGTCATTTAGGAGACGCTCTTACCCAGAGCGATTTACTGGAGCAATTACGGGTTAAGTGCCTTGATCAAGGGCACATCGACAGATTTGTCACCAAGTCGGCTCGGGGATTCGGCTCGGGGATTCGAATCAGATACCTTTCAGTTACTGGCCCAACGCCCTTAAACGCTAGGCTACCTGCCACAACGCTGTGTGTATCTCACCACAAGGTGGCAGAAAAAGCAAACTCTACTTTTATCCTGCCCAATGAAACTGAAAACTGAAGGTGGCCACTGTCCATGCAAGTTAGAATAGAATAGCTTCGAGTGATTGTCTAGTACTGCCACACATCTATCTGATAACTATTCAAAGTACAACTAGGTCCATCTATGCCAGTTAGAATACAATATAATAAAATAGAAGAGAAGAGAATATTCAGTGTAAATAAAAAATTAAAAAATTTTGTGAACTGTACAATTCGTCTCAGAGTCTAGTGGACATCAAGATACAGACAGCCCTGAGCCCTCTCGGGTGTTTTTACATATGGCTAATTGACTTTATAATCATTTTCTGCTGCTTAGCGTGTCATTGTGAGAACACTGGGCAGCCAGGCAGAGTTCTCTGTCTGTCCCACAGTCCCAGAGCAATAATGAATATGATTGTCAGTCTGCATCATAAATCACTGCCAGGGTAGCAGTGTGTTAGATATTGATATAGCAGTTGACCTCACATAGCGAGTGCCACATTTTGTGACCAACTGTTGATTTAGTGTCTTCATTGACAGGGAGGTTGTTTTCCGTTTGTACTAAGGTTGAGTGTGCCAGCTAGGCTAGATGATAGGCAGCAATTAAATCTGCAGAGCGTGTTGATTACTGTGAGGTACGTTAAAACTCGATACAGAGACCTCATATTCCAATATCAATAGCCCTTTACCTGGGTCGTATTCATTAATGCACACCATCGCAAAAAATTTTACAACAAAAAACGAGCGTTTCTCATTGGACACGTCCAGGTATTCCCTCCGTTTCAGTTCGCTTTCTTCTGTTTAGTGCCTAATGAACACGACCCTGAACTTGTCAGTGTGAAATGATCTCGTCGTTGTCATCAAATCACCAAGCATCTTCCCTGTTGTGATGCACACTGTGAAAGACGGGCCCACGTTGGCAGGCTAGTGTCGTAGTAAATATAATTTGTCGTAGTAAATATAAAATGTTATAGATTGGTCTGACTAAAATGTTGTGCAAGACCAATTTGTGTTAGGAGCCTGTTTTTAATAAATTGTGTTTTAGGTCAGAGAACAAAGGACAGAGGAGAACACCATATCTTCTCACCAGATGACCTAGTCTTGCAGGAATGCGATAACAGGACAACACCCCCTCTCCGGCCATAAACCACCAGATACTCCCCACCACTTTCTCTTGACACACACCAATATTTCATTTGCACGCACACTCATTCTCAACTCCCCTGTCTACTGGTCGGGTGCCAAGGGCAGAGGACTCTGCCGTGCACCAATGGGGCTTCTACTCTGGACAGAGCAGAACCGCCTCCTACGCCTCGGGAACCAATCAAGGGACTAGAAGAAGGACCCCTTCCTTTATGTTACATTGTATAAAGTAATGCTGTAAACTCTGTTTAAACATCCTTCTCAGCTGACACTAATAGAGTGCTATATGATTAGGTCCATGCATGTTAATTAGCAGGATCCCATGCATGTTAACTAACAGTACAAGATATCTCTGTGTTTAATAAACTGCCTTTTGCTTAAACAAATTCCTCTCTGTCTAGCGTCGTTGGTTTGTACTCCCTCTCCTAATTATGTGTTCACCAACAAATTGGTAGCAGAGGATGGTTTCTAATTCGATCTAAAGAGTTGGTGCGAGAGGAAAAGGCAAATCATCGATCTAAAAACAGACGGAAGAGTGACCTGTAATCCAGGAGACATCAACTATTCATCTTACCTCAGGAACCTGATCAGAGAGCTCTCCAAAAAAAAAAAGGTATGCAGAGCCTGTTAAAACGAAATCTTGCATATTGTATTATAGACCAATACCAAATTTTGATCAGAAGTACTGAGCGTGAGTATGAATACTTGTTAAATAATTTCCATCCTAATGAATTAAGGCATAAGTGAGATATCTGGTACTGTGATTTATACTGTAAAATTTCCTACAAGATCTAGTTGTTCTATAAGTTTTCACATTTAAAAGGTCCTATTTTTAGATAGGTTGTGTGGGGTTTTCACATTTAAAAGGTCCTATTTTTAGATAGGTTGTGTGGGGTTTTCACATTTAAAAGGTCCTATTTTTAGATAGGTTGTGTGGGGTTTTCACATTTAAAAGGTCCTATTTTTAGATAGGTTGTGTGGGGTTTTCACATTTAAAAGGTCCTATTTTTAGATAGGTTGTGTGGGGTTTTCACATTTAAAAGGTCCTATTTTAGATAGGTTGTGTGGAAGTGTGTAGTCACACGTATAAGTTTTCACATTTAAAAGGTCCTATTTTAGATAGGTTGTGTGGTAGGTGTGTTTTGACGTATGAGTGGATAAGATTTGACCCATCATTAGGTGGGGGAGAATCACCGAAATTGACCAGAGGTACTAAATTCCCGGGGATGCCAGTTATCTCTGTGATTTCACACTTAAAACGTTCCATATAAATGGTTGTGTGAAAGGTACAATTAAGCTGAGACTAAGTCCTTCCTAGTGATCGAGTTGTCTAAAAAAAAAAAAAAATCCTTTGATAGGGATCCAGTTGCTTCTGTGACTTCACATAAGTGTAAGGTTGTGTGAAGGGTGGCAGTTGAACTGAGACTATGTTTTAGGACGCTCTGGTAACCTAATTTTTTTAAGGTATTGAATTCTAATTGGCAGTTTTGTTTTGCTGTGTTTATATTTTAACGTGTCTGTGTTATATCTTAAACGTGTAATGGATGATGGGAAGTTATAGTGAGACTTATGAAACTGAATACCAAACTGTGGAATTGAGTGAATTTGACTTAGGCTTTCAGGAACCAGGGATTGGGGGGACTGATATTGGATCTGTGCATATTCTTGAACAAGAACTGAGACAATTGAAGCGTGTTGTGTGCTGTGGAGGAATTACTGCATTGGTATATGTGACTGGAATTCTAATTTTTTATGATAATAATTGCATTACAAATTATATAAATCAGCCTCTTTATATACGAGGGTGTCGTACATGAGATAAGTCTGTATTGATACCGATAATACATCCTTGGAAATAAAACACCAGGGACGGGATAAGTGTATAAAGATAGTAAAGCAAAATGGCAGGGCCAAACCCAACCATACCCAAATTTAATGAATACCTAGAACAACGAATGACAGAGAGAGCAGAGGGAGAGTTGAGAGTAGGGACATGGGAAATAGAGGAGAGTAGGAGGGTGCAACCTAAAAAATCTGACACAATGTGTGTGAAAGGGTCTCCTACAGTCGCCCCAGACACCAGCACCACTCCTGGCCCCACCTCACTATACAGCCTAAAAGGCACCATGACTTTTGGCCCACAACCACAACCATGGCCTCAGCAAGGCACTCCACCAGGTCCTCCTAGAAGAGGGAACTACCTGTGCTACCATTGTGGAAGAACTGGACATTTCAAGCGTGATTGTTGGGATCTGCAGAAATCTAACCATCAACCCCCAGGGAGGGGAAGAGGCAGAGGTACACCACAATGGAGAGGTAGAGGAAGGGGAGGACCCCCACAACAACCATAAACCCACCTGTCTGAACTCCAGGTGCCCGAAGGCGTGATCCTCATCCAATACTACTACCACCGACATCACAGACTGAACTCAACCAAGGCGATATAGCACAGTTACAGAGCTCAGCAGGACCCTATGAACACTCAGTCTGGGCCCAGGAGGGGGCGGCAGAGGACAGGACGAACTCTGGAGGTGCCATGATGGAAGACTAGTTGAACCAGCTAGACTCTGCCCAGTCCCACACATCTGGTGGCACCCTCACATGACAGAAACTGTAGACAGGTTTTCAAAATGGGTAGAGGCAATTCCTACAGAAACTACAGAATAAGAGGATGCTAGGTCAGTTATTAAGTGGCTACAAACTAAGTTAATACCCAGATATGGTATACCAAGGCAGATAAGATCTGACAACCACACGTTTTAGCAACAAAACATCTGAGAGAGGTGGAGGAAAGATTCGGAGTCGTGCACAGATTCGGTTCAGTTTATCATCCTCAGTCCCAGGGACTCGTGGAACGCGCCAACCTAGCCAAGGGAGGGAGGTCATATGCCCGCCCTTGATGTACAACAGATAGAAATGACTGATTATGTGATGAAATTGACGGAGCTTTCTGCAGCACTCTCTTCTCAGGTGCGGAAGGTCCAGGAGAGGGAGCTGACAGGAAGTACGCTGCCACTGAAGGTAAAGGTGGGAGACTGGGTGAGGGTAAAAGTCCACAAGAGAAAGTGGCTGGAACCCAGGTGGACTGGACCGTACGAAGTGAAGGAGGTTACTTCACACTCAGTCCAGGTCAGAGGTAAATCAGGCGCACCCTGGCACCATCTAACACATTGCACACCAGCCCCCACTCCTTCTAGAACACTGACAGAAGTCAGAGCTGATTTGAGCAGCCAAAACCAAT